ATGCAATCGACACATCTCCGGACGTAGGTCAAACGGGCCACTCTCATCGACATATTTCCGAACGTAGGCCAAACGGGCCACACTGATCAAAATGTCTCCGGATATAGGCCAAATGGACCACCCTCATAAACACATCTTCGAACGTAGGCCAAACGAGCCACATTCATCGACACGTCTCCGGACGTAGGTCAAACAGGTCACTCTCATCAATATGTCTTCGAACATAGGCAGAACATGTTGCAACCTAAGAAAAAACATCCTACGGGATATGCAGAACATGCCCCGAGTCCCTCAAGGGGGACCCTGACACTAATACATTTCTTAAGGGAGACACATAATCAAAATATTGGCTGGTTACTTAAGCAGTTCACAAGTCGATATGCAAATTGAAGTTGAAAAAATAAGTAAAATTACATAGCAAGTTGACCAACTGGTTAAGTTCAACAAAAGAAAATGGTCAAACAGAACCAATTATTTTAAACAAGAAAGCAGACTACAAAAGTTGAAAAGAAATAAAGAAGTCTTCATTTACTTTGAGACGCTAGTAGGAAACCCATGATCTGCAGTCTCTTCAGCATTCACTTGATCAATCACGCCTTCCGCAGCTCCACCTGCCTGCTCTGCGACATTTGCCGCCATCTCGTTGGCTACGTCCTCCTCTGCTCCATCCTCTTTATCTACCACTTCTTCGGCCGCTTGCTCTTCAGTCCCTTCCATGTTCACAACATTACCTTGCTCACTTTGCACAGGGAATAAGTCCGGGCAGATCACCATTTTCAATTGCATAAAAGGGCGCAGTCTCATTTGTGCAGTGCAAGTAGCCCAACTTGTACGCATCTATGGTGGCTTTAAACTTGGATTTCTCGGCAGGCTTGTGGTGAGAGCGAAGTCTAGCCAGAAGCTTGTCATAGCTGAGGGAGATATCAGCATTCTTGAGCTCGAGACAAAAGAAGACATCTTTTCGACTAGCCAAGTCAATAGCAGAAGAGCTAAGCTCAGAATCCTTCTCAACAAGGGAGCTTTTCAGCTCAGAGATTATCGCCCTCAAATCAGACGTCTTCTTCTCATAACGGGTCTGCTCGGCAAAAAGCTTTCTAGCCAGTTCAACATTCTTCTTCTCCAACTCGTTGAGCTAAGCAGAAAAAGGGGCAACAACAGACGAGTTCTAGATAGCCTTAGCAGCAAAAACTAATCTTTTTTAAGCATATGAAATGTCTTTTCCTTTTGTTTTTTTCCAAAGAAAGACTCGAGAAGGTGTCAAGATTGCCGGCCTGACGGATGTGATTAACTAGCTCAACATAACGGTTAGAGACATTAGGGAATATGGTTGTTGGTACCATAACTGACCGAGCAACTAGCTTGGCTAGATCATCTACGTGCCATGCTTTGAGAGGTCATCACCTTAGCCAAAGAAGTATTATCACAAGTCACAACTCTAAGCAAAGCAAGAGGAGTCCCACATCGGAAAACTACAAGATGGAGACTCCCCCTCACCTATAAAAGAAGACCATTCTTCCACTTAGAAAAGGGTCTTGGATCTAGACCTTTGGGCCTTGGACTCTCTCCTCTGGATCCCTGGGCTAAGCTTTATCTATAATCATGGGCTTCTCCCTTCTTATCTTTATATTTGGGTCCAACCCTATGTACAAATGTAAATACACATTATAATCAGAGCGTACTTCTCCATGGACGTAGCCCATTCATTAAGAGTGAACCACGTATATCTCGTCTTCTTTATATTTATCGTTTGTCCAAATCTTCACACACATGCTGAAGGTCCTCACCTTCATCCATCATCCACCATTCCACATCTATTTAAGTTGACCTCCCAAAAAGAGCATCAACAATGGTAAAAGAGAAGATACAGGCCAGAAAAAGTTCATTTTTAAATTCAAAAATTATTTAGATCGATAATGAAAAAATTCCTAAAGAACAAAGAGGGCAAGTGCATGAGAGTAAACAAGACAAATCAAATTGGATTTGTCACAAAAAGAATGGAAACCGCAAAACAAAGAGGTCAATCATTCGGACTTGTCATTGGTTTTGTATTTACCCCGGAGGATGCGGCGTTGCTTATTAAGAATGGAATTGTTGAAAACAAGCTAGGTGACAGCACTAAAGCCTGTACTATGATCAAGAACCTTGCTGACGGCGTCATTATGGCCGATGAGTTCTACTTCACCACTCTTTGTGAAAACCTGAACAAGTAGTACAGAATGTTTAGGCACAGATGGAAGGAATATTTGATAAAACATTTCTTCAACTCACCTTGGAAACTAAGGAAATCGTTGCAGCTGCTATTTTCCTTATGCTCACTTTTGTACAGACGGTGTGCTCTATTATCTCTGCTGCGCAACAATAGTAAGTTTCTCCTTGGCCTTTTCCTCCCCATATCCTCATCCCTTTATTCATTCACATCACATGTGCTGGTTACCGGCTTAGAGGTAGCGTCTAGTCTTTGAGAGAGGTGTAAGTTTGGTTTAATTTGCAAACTGCGATTAGTCATCTATAGTATAGAAGGAGGCTTAAGTTTCCTTCAACTGAGTGTAAGAGAGATTTGAAGTTTGAAAAAAAAAATTATGTAGAAGAGTATTGGCATACTCTTACACTTAATGTCCTTTTCTAATTGGAATTACAAGGTTAATTAGTATGATTTAGATTAGGAATTTCAGATAATTAATTGAGTGACAAGCCATTATTAGGCTTTCTCTTCTGATAATTGGTTTCTTAATCGTTCACCATTGCGCTCATACCACTTGTTGCAGTACACATTCACCCGTTCTCAGAGAAAGAAATTCTATCAATTGATATTGTCTCAAATTTAACGACATAGGTCTATTATGATTAACCATATGTACTTTATGGGCCATCCATAGGTTTTATCTCAAAAACCTTAGGTACCTTTTTCCAACGTGCAACAATTTTATTTGATTCACAATTATATCTGATATACATCACATCATGCCACTTGCATCAAATGAATTTAATTGAGTGAGGCAATGGGAAGTGACTAAGCTCTATATTGGTGGGTGGAGTGTTTCTTCTGGAACCCTTATCATTCGTCCATATAGGGGAACAATTCCCTTCCCTCTATAAAATGGTGAAGCCAGTTGGTATTGTTACCATAAGAGCCAGCTCCGACTTTCTTTAATTTCTTGCTTCATATCCACTAGCTACATCTGTTGCCAAGTTAATTTCAGTCCTAATGGGGTTTCATCTCCCACTCATCTTTGCTCTTCTCAGTGTAAGCTCTGCAGTTTGATTAACTTTTCCATTATCTCTCATTGTACTCCACATGAAGGAAAGTTTTGTGTTCCTATAATTCTCTCCGATCTTATGTAGTACGCAAGTGTCCTCCACTAATTAATTACACTTTGTGATTTGATTTTAATTAGAGTTCGAATTAATGTTGCAGCTAGCAGCGGTGGCACTGGCAAACCATGCTGCCCAACCAGCACCTCAACTTTACTGGAACTCCGTCCTGCCAAACACACAGATGCCAAGAACTATCAGTGAACTTCTGCATCCTGGTTTGTATTGAATAAATATAGTATGTTACTGGAGTACGTATGGCAACATATTCACAAATGTGTCACTCACTCTTCAATCGGCTGATCACGTATTTGCCATTATGACGTTGATATATAATTTGCAGACCCCACAATGAAGAAAAGAGCACAAATGTCATGAATGCTGCTGGGAATGGAAAGCCAATTGACCACAAGGGCAAACCTGAAAATACTGTACTACCAGAGCTGCGAATCCCATTTTTTTACAGGATATATGATCATCCCACTGATAATCAACTCCATTATAAAAACGTAGCTATTTTCTTCTTGGAGAAGGACATGCGCCCTGGCACAACAATGAACTTCCAATTCCCTAGAAATTCAAACACGGCTACTTTCCTGCCACGAGAAAGCACTCAATCGATCCCTTTCTCCTCTAACAAACTACCAGAAATTTTAAACCATTTTTCAGTGAAGCCGCCATCTGTGGAAGCCAAAACAATTAAGCAAACAATCGAAGAGTGTGAAGCTCCGGGCATTAAGGGAGAGGAAATATATTGCGCCACATCTTTAGAATCAATGGTTGATTTTAGCACTTCGAAGCTTAGAACAAGAAACGTTCAAGCAATATCGACGGAAGTAGTGGAAAAAGGAGCCACCATGTCCATCCACAAGTATACAACAATGCCGGGACTGAAGAAGCTGGCAGGTGACAAAGTCGTTGTGTGTCATAAGCAGAACTATCCCTATGCTGTGTTTTACTGCCATGCAATAAAACCAACAGCAGCTTGTTCTCTCCCTGAAAGGCGATGATGGGGTGAAGGTTAAAGCAGTAGCCACCTGCCATCTAGACACATCAGAATGGAACCCAAAGCATTTGGCCTTCCAAATCCTCAAAGTTGAGCCTGGAACCATTCCCATCTGCCATTTCCTTCCCACTGATCATATTGTCTTTGTTCCGAACCACAAAAATGCATGATATCATCACTTAGCACCGTACGTATAATAAGCTTGCAACCCTTATCTCCCTACGTATTTCTGCCTCTTCATGTGGTGTTAGATATATGATGAGATGAAGTTTTTGGGATTAGTGTTCGGGTTGTCTAAAAAACACAGATTACAGAAACTGCTTGAAATTAACCTGATCATGTTTTCTCTTGTAACTATATAGACTTCAACTTGTACTCATAAAGCATGCTATATTTATGAAGAGATTAATCTATACATATATATATATATATATTATGCTTTAGCTTTGTGGTTCTACCAAATGTTTGAGTGTTGAATTGTTACGTTAGAGAAGCCTTCATTTATATCAAAGTCCTCAAACTATCAAGAATTAATGTATCCAGAAACATACCAAGACGCAAAACAACATATTTTCCATGCTCGCTCTGTAAAGCATACATGAATTTGTCCATTGGGTATATATGTCAGTTTTTGAATTGAAAGCATACCAAGACGCATAAATATCCAATTTTGTTACATAAATTTGAGAGAACCATAAATATATAACCTAAAGTAGCACTGAAAGCTTGGTACAACGGACTAATGCGTTATCCTCTGTTTTGTTTTTGGTCCAAAATCCTTCTATTTAAGTTTGCATATGCGAACACAATTAGAAATTCTACAGCAGAAGCAAGATCAATCTCACTATATATGCCTTCTAAACGAACAAACAAATGAAACAAGCACATTAACATCAACACAGAACACTTAGTTTACTAACAGATGATACAGAAAGGAAAAAAAAAAAAGGAGCAATAGGGAGAAAATGGTGAACCAAGGAGAGAGAGACTAATGCTTCTGGTTCTTAGAAGGCATAACAGAAATAATAGAGCACACTGCTTGAATGCAAGTCAGTATTAGGAGCAAAACAGCTGCAATGACAGAAATAGTTGCCCAAGGTGTATTGAAATAATTTTGCCTCAAATTTGCCTTCCATCTGTTCCAAGGCTTTCTACAGTAGCTATTGAGGCGCTCAGAAAGAGTAGCAAAGTAGAAGCTGTCACGATCCACAGAAACTCCTCTTCCGAGGTTGTTAATCAGAGTGCACACCTCATTGTAGTCACCAAGCATATTTTCAACAATCCCATCCTGCAGAAGGAACTCTACATCCTTTTCGGTGTTCACAAAGTCATCCATGAGTGAAACATAATCACTTATGTAATTGTTTTGGCAATGGCTCTGCTCAAAGGCAAGGAGGTTACGGAGTGTGAGCTCTGTGTAATCATGTATTTGTAGTTTTGGAATTTCTAGAATCCCATCGTTGAATCGTATATCGAATAAGTTTCTGCTTGATCCCAACTTAAACTTGACCCCAGCCAGGTGTAGTTTTGTAATGCAGGGTGTAGTCATAATACTTTTGCTTGGCCCTTCATTACTTTGATCTGATTCCTCCAATATTGGAAGATGTAAAGTTCTTATAAAATCAAGAAAATGTTCAACTTTAGGATTACTACTAGAAGAAGAAATTCTCTTCAAACTGTCTTCTGCCCCCTCTAATGCCAGTGTCATTGTCAAGAACTCGTAAGAGAGATTAATCATTGAAAGCTTCTTACCGTTAGAAGAGACTGTAATTATGTCAGGGTCAAAAAGATCCTCAAGAATGAAAAATGGCAGTTGATTTTCAAGCAATTGCATGTCAGGCGCTATATAATGTATCAACCATGGTTTGTTGAATATACGGTCATTTTCGTAATTTTCCAATCCAATGATATTGAAACGTTCACGGCAAATTCTCAATAAGAGTTCAATGATGAAGGCGGCATCCACAAGAATGATTCTTACGAATTCATCACTGTTAAACTTTATGCTTTCTTCATAACAACTACGCAGCTTTGCTTCGTGGTACTTTACTTTCTTTACATACTCCTCCAAGCTTACCCTGGTCCGCGTTAAAAAACCTTGCAGGTACCTTTTTTTTTGCTCTTCCATGGCTTTTAAGCTTTGCTTGCCATGGTGAAGTGGGCCTATAGAGACGACTTGAGGTGTGTAGACCTTTTCATTTACGTGTCGTAGTCGATCAGGAACCCTATAAATGCAACAGACCATAGGCGGCTGGGGAGACAACTTACTCAATTCATCTCTCATGCAAGTTGCTAATGGAATGTGTTGGTTTTCTATGTCAAATGGATCCTGATTTCCTTCCATTTGCCTCCTGATCTGTGGTGTTCCTTCTGATTGTAAACCATGTGATGATTTCATTCATATTATTAACATTCCAAGATGCTTCCACAAAAATTAGTAAACATGCTTAAAAAATATGTACGAAACATCACAGAATCTATTCCAAATCAAACAATAGATGCTTGAGATCAAACCAACCCTTAATTTGCGCTCATATATACACATCCAGAACTCTATAGGCAACTCACATAAAACATAAAAACACCTTATTATTACTTCGCAATAATTACATCCAAATTCGTACAAAACTCTGTTGGTCCTCCATCACTTCTTAGAAAATTCTAAAGCAGTTCTGATTATAACATGAAAACTGTTACTAAAATCCTAGATAGTACTAGATCTTATCCTCCTTGATAGATTTCTCATGCTTTCAGTCAAAACACACACAGACAAACCAAAATTCCATTGAAAGTAAAAACACAATTACACAATTCGCATAGCCATTGCTTGATTCCAATTTCGAACTACGTACTGTGAAAGCTTCAAGAAAATGGAAATGTGCTACAAATGATTACAAACTGGAAAAAAACAAGAACGAAAAAGGAGGTGAGTTAAATTTGCACCTGCTATGCTCAAACGACAAAGTTGGTTTCCCTTTGGTCGATTACAAGAG